GGTACGTCTCTCTCTCTCTCTCTCTCTCTCTCTCTCTCTAGGGCTTTCATAATCTTAAATGGTATCAAAGCATATAACCCAAGAACGATCAGTTGGGACAATCGCTGATAAATTGCTGAAATCATGCACTAGCGCATCGTGGGACGATGAAACATTTTTGAGGTCCCAGTGCATTGTGGGACGATGAAACATTTTTGAGGTCCTAGTGCATCGTGGGACGATGAAGCATTTTTAATGTCCCAACACATCGTGGGACGATGAAACATTTTTGATGTCCCAACAGTTTTTAGCAATGTGTCCATGTCGCCTACAATATTGGCAAATTACTCGAGGTGGCATACCCATTCTTGGCTAAGGAGGTTGATGGTAAAATGGGTTGGCTTCTTGCCTTGTTGATTTTAGTTGCGACCTCTACCTCATCTACCTCTATAACAACCGCGTCCTTGACCATATCCCCCTCTATGCCCTGATGATGTGTTCACCAATATTTGAGGATTACTTTTCCACGACCGATGAAGATACAAAACCAAGCTTCATATGTGAGAAGAGCGGATCCAAGCTCTGAATAGGACGGAAATGGAGGTTTAGTCACCAGCGAAGTCTCAAAGGACTTAAAACTATGGACCAAGACCTTTGAGGGTATAGAAGATCATATCTTGATCACTTATTGGACTACCAATTGCAGCAAGGTGGTTGCATATAGTTTTGAACTTGTTCAGGTATTCAGTCACTGATTGAGACCCCTTTTGTAAATTGATCAATTATGTTTTAAGCTGGAGAACATTGGCAAATGTTTCCCTTTGATAAGTGTCGTAAAACGTCTCCCACACTTCTTGAGCTGTCTTTAGGTGCATCACTTCAGTGAGCAAGTCATCGGAGAGAGAAGAAAGTAACCAACTCAATAGTGTTTATCCTTCATTCGCCATTCTAAAAATTTGGGGTCCTTTGATGGTTCTGGATTGATGCCTTGATTTTCTTTTGGTTCATCAAAAATAAACTCATTTTGTGGCCAACTAGACCCATCAAGGTGACTTTCAAGATTCAAGCCTTCAATACAATTTTAAACTTGGGCCTTCCATTTGAGGTAGTTGCCTCTACTGAGTATAATAGAGATAAATGATGGGAAGCTTAGGGAGGGCATAGTTAAAAGGAACTACTTCACTTGAAGTTTTGAAAGTAAAGTACTAACTAGAAGGGGAACAATTCTGAAAAGTGATAGCGATTACTTCAGTACCACTGTTACCGAAATTTTTGGGGAAGACAACCTACTTCGGTTGGTTGAGTATTGAACTTTGGTTTGGCTTTACAGAGAGTAGTTCGGCACAAGCGTTGTCGAACTTTGTTTTGGCTTTTCAAAGAATAGTTCGGCACAAGGGTTGCAAAACTTTGATTTCGCTTTCTAGAGACTAGTTCGGCACAAGGGTTGCTGAACTTTGATTTGGCTTTTAAGAATATAGTTTGGCACAAGGGGTGTCGAACTTTGATTTCGCTTACCAGTTACTAGTTCGGCACAAGGGTTGCTAAACTTTCACTTTTGGGAGTAATAAGAGTAAACTCCAATGATGAGATAAAGAAGAGGTAAAAGGAGAAGGTAAAAAAACCCCCAACAATGAGATAAGAGGGTAACTCCAAGAAGATGAGGAAGTACAAGCCCTTTTAGAGGACAAACATCACTTTTAAGAGGAAGAGAGAGAATAAGAGAAATGTGATGAGAGATGAAGATTGACGTAATTAACAAGGAAGAAGTAGCAATTAAGAGAAACGTGATGAGAGAGAATTAGAAAATGTGATGAGAAGAAGAGATGAAATATTGGGTAATGAAATTAACACAGAAAATGAGGTAATGAGATTACGAGAGAGAATAAACAGAAAAAGAGATAATGAGATTATATAGATGGAAAATGTGATGAGAGAAGATATGACACTTACAGGTTCTGCCTCTGTGAATAGAAAGACGAGGTTGAGGCTTTGATACCATGGAAGAGAGAGAGAGAGTAGACCTCAATTCATTCATTCAACATATTACGTTTTGCACTAGCGTGTGTATATATAGTGGACAGAATTACCCTTGAGGGTAAAGAATGAAAGAATGCCCTATACAATGTTACTAAAGACAATCTCTCTCTTAACACCCCCTCAGCAATCACCTTCCCACTTTGTAGATCCTTCACAATACAACCATGAGGAGTAAACTATTAAGCAAGTTGAGATACATATATGATTTGTTTCTTTAGTTTGGAAACAAGTAAAACATTAAGGTTATTTAAAGAACCAAAGGTAGTGGAAATAATCACAGTTCCAATATGAGTTATAGGTAAGATAGAACCATCTCTAATGAATACCATGCAAGGACCGTGGTAAGAAATTATGCCTCAAAGTTGAGAGTTGTCATCTGTCATATGAGCAGTTGCACCAAACAATTCTCAAATTCAATAACCAACAACCTATGAAGAAGATGCCTCTAACACTGGGTGGTAGGCGTCAATGAAAGAAGAGATTGGTGCACTTAAAAGAACATACCTGGGAATTAGTGCCATTGCCTCCAGGCAAAATGTTGTGAGCTCAAAATGGGTGTACGAAGTTAAGGTCAGATCAAATGGCTTAGTTGAAAGGTTGAAGTCTAGACTAGTGGCCAAGGGGTTTAGTCAAGAATATGACATTGATTATGATGAAACCTTCAGTCCAATTGTGAAGGCACTCACTATTCGATGCGTTCTGGCTCTGTCATCTATGTTTAATTGGAAACTCCATCAACTTGATGTGATAAATGTGTTCCTTCATGGTGATTTGAAAGAAGAAGTGTCCATGCAACAACCCAAAGGATTTGAAGATCCCTTACAACCACATCGCATATCTGCAAATTAAAAAGAGTGAATTCTGGACTCAAGCAAGCTCCTAGGGCATGGTTTGAGAAATTCAATTGTTTACTCTACTCCCTATTTTTAAAAAGATCATCGTCAGGTATTATCCTCCTCCTAATTTATGTGGATGACATCATTGTTACAGCAAATGACATTAAAGGCATTGAACATATTAAGAAAGAATTGAAATTGAACTTTGAGATGAAGGATCTTGGAGAACTGAAATATTTTTTGGGTATTGAAATTCATCAGACAGAGAAAGGTATTGTTCTCACCCAACATAAATATATTATTGATTGACTCTCTAAAATAAAGATGTTGGGATGCAAGCCTATTTCCACCCTGTCTGAAGTAAATAAGAAGTTAAGAACTGAAGAAGGGGAACTGTTACCCAATCCTTCCTTGTACAGAAGTGTTGTTGGTAGTCTTTAATAACTCACATTTACATGCCCTGACATTGCTTATGCAGTGAATACAGTATGTTAGTTCATGCAGGGTCCCCGACAGCCTCATTAGGAAGCCATAAAAAGGATTTTGAGGTATTTAAAGGGTTCTATACATGATAGCTTATTCTATAATCTAGTTCACCTGACCTCAAAGCATACTCTGATGCTGACTGAGCAGAGTGTCCTAATGATCGTAGGTCCATTACATGATTTTGTATCTTCTTGGGAGAGAGTCTAATTTCCAAGAGTAGCAAAAGCAGGCCTCAATATCAAAATCCAATACAGAGTGAAAATAAAGAGCAATGGGTATTGTTGCAGCAGAAATTACTTGGCTACGTATGCTCCTTAAGGAAATTGGTGTTTCCACAATTAAGCCAACCATTCTAGCTTGTGATAATCAAAGTCCTATGTGATTAGCCACCAATCCTATCTTCCATGCTCGCACTAAACACATAGAAGTGGATTATCACTTTATTAGAGAAAAGGTTGTATCTAGTGCTATTTCCATGGCCTTTGTTCCTTCATCCCATCAGTTGGCAGACATGTTTACTAAAGCTCTAAGAGAATCAAGACACCATAAGTCCATAGACAAGCTCTCAATGCACAAGATGCATGCTCGACTTGAGGGGTAGTGTTAAGAGAGAGATTGTCTTTAAAAAACATTGTATAGAGAATTCGTTCATTCTTTACCCTCAAGGGTAATTCTGTCCACTGTATATATATATATATATATACTAGTGTGAAATGTAGTGTGTTAAATGAATGAATTGAGGTGTACTCTCTCTCTATCTCTCACTAGGGTTTTTATAGTTTTTATAATCTAACAAATGGTTGAGGACGTGGCCATTATAGAGGTAGAAGAGATAAAGGTCGCAACCAAAATCAGCAAAGCATGCTTGGAGATAAAAGTCGCACCTCAACAAAGAATGGGTATGGCACCTCAAGTAACTTGCCAGTATTGTGGGCATGGACACATTGCTAAAAACTGCTGGGACATAAAACATAC